GTTCCCCTAAAACTCATTTAAATTAAAAAAAAAAAAAAAAAGGTTAATTCCAAGGGGGATAGAAGAGTAGATGAAGAGATTTGTTAAAGAATAAAACATTATAGCAAGACGGGAGGGATAAGTTCTGGTGTGCTACAGCACTGTGGGATGATTATGGTTAACAATAATACATAGTTTCAAATAGCTAGAATAGTATCAAATGTTCCCAACACAGAGAAATGACAAATGTTTGAGGTGATGAATATGCTAATTACCCTGATCTGATCACTATACATTACATGTACCAAAACATTACTATGTACTCCATGAACATGTACAATTCTTATTTGTCAGCTTAAAAAAATAAAATGAAAAGAATGTTGTAAAAAAATAGAAGTCTAAGAAAGTAAAAAATAATAATAATTTTTTGTCTTTGGCCAACTTCGCTTTTTTTCCTTTATAAATCATTCAAATATCTGAAGTCCAAATACTAATACTAAGGACAGTTTGTGATTAACCTTTCCCTGCTCCAAGAAGTAGCCAGCATCAGGGATTCTTCCTTCTAAAATAGCTTAACCAGTTTTTAATACACCAGAAAGACTTTTGCTCACAGCCTTCTGGTCATTTATTTTCCTTAATAGCCTTTTATGAGGGACCTTATCAAAAGCTTGCAAGGAAATCCAAGTAAATTATGTTCCTTGGTTCACCTTTACCTACTATTTCATTAACTTTTTCAAAAACAATATGACATAGTTTTCAACATAATTAAAGGGGTTGGCAAAAAGGGAACTTTTAACTACTGCTTGACAGTTTCTGTGGTTGCTTAGGAGAGCTGGGTCACTGTTCATATTCTGCCTCCGCTTAAGGACACTAATTCATTTCTCAGGCTGTCTGGCGAGGTCAGCCACTAGTTCAAGGTGGAAATGACAAGTTTTTAGGCTTTCAAGTGTGCAGCACTCAGCTCTCCAGAGAGCACGAAGGAAGGAAACTGCAAGTTTATCCAGGTTTGACCCAGAGGAAGAGGAAATGATGGGAAGAACCAAGACAAGGGCAGAGGGAGGTGTCTCTTTGGAGGGGGAGTTACACTGAAAGAGTCTCAGACACTCTCAAGTAACTCTTTATTATTATTTTTTTTTTAATGAGAAAAGGAGGGACTGATTACAGAACTTGGGAAAACGTTTAGAGTTCCACAGTGGGTATGCAAGGCCAGAATGCGAGGGTGAGCAGAGGCTGGCTAGAACAACAAGGAAAGGGTTAGGAACTCAAATAAGCTCACACAGCTAGTAGTAGCAGTATTAAAAATCATCATCATCATCATCATCATCATCATCATCATCATCATCACAATAGCAGCTGTATTTGTTGAGTGCCTCCTTTGTGCAAGTATGTGCTAGGTGTGGGCACATGCCCATCTCATTGAAGCTTAATAACCAGGGATGGGAGATATCATTACCTCATTTATAAATGAGAAAACTGAGGCACAGAGAGTTTAAAGGACCTGGTGAAGTTCACACAATTAATAAATTATCAGGTTTGGCATGTGATCTTCTCAATTCTGCAGTACATGGATTTTTATGATGCTAGTTAGTCAATTCTTAGCACATTCCATAGCAAAACTGGCTCGTAAGTCAAATATTTAAGTAGATGTTCTAAACATTCTAAATATTAATTACCAGTTTTCATAAGTATTATTACACAATGGTTTTTAAAAAGGCAGATCATATTTAATTTGTATTCATGATGCACCAAGGCATTTCAGGCTTGCAATTCTTAAAACATCTTTATGAATCTCCATTTTCATTGGCTTGAGAAATTGGAAGTGCTTGTTTACAGAAGACTCTGGCTGACAAAATGCTAGTAAAATTGGTTTTTAATGTACAAAGGAACTAGTAAGGAAAAGCAGAAATGCCTCCATTTCTTTTTGGCTTACTTCTTGGTTTCCACTGGCTCAATGCCTATTTTTCCTTATGTCCTGAGAAATGGGCCATTTTTAGTCTTTTCCATGACTTCAGAAAGCCCACCATAATTGTCCTGCCACATGCTTCATGCTCCATAGGATGTGATGCCCGAATGTTGGAAAGCATTTGTTTTTAAAGTATCTTTTGAAGACTTGCATCTTCTCCCGAGATGCTCCTGCAAGCTGCTAAGTTCCAAGTGACCATGGCACCTTACCTTCTGGTCTGTCCATGGCTCTGGTGAAACACCCAGTATCTAAAGGGAGCAGATAAGCACCTGAAGGCACTTCTGCCAGGCCAGGTGGCCCAGCTAGTAGGTTCCCAGCTCCTGGTTTGTCCAGACAATGACCATTCAGACCAGAAGCCTGAGAAGCTGAAGAACCAAAAAAGCAACTTGGGCTTTTTGTCAATGAATGAATGTGCTAATTGGAAAGAATGCAAATATTGCAGACTGAGAGAAAAAGAAATAGCCTTCAGGGGAGGAGGTGGATGTACCCTCATGGTGGTGGGGACAGGGGACCTTGGGTTTGCTTGTTACCTCCAAGTCTTTGCTGGTCTTTGCAAGGTCTCTGAGTCTTGCTGCAGGACAGGTTTGGTCTGTTGCCTGGGTCCCTGGGCTGGTGTCACAGATGAGTGGCTCCTTTGTTGTGTCTTTTAGAGTTCGCCGTTAGTCCTGCCCATGGTCCTGGCCATTTGCCTCTGGAGGTAGAATCCTTACACTCCGTAGCCAATTTGTTCTAATCCCAGGCTTCCACATGTCCTCCTGCCTCTCAGTACCATTATATCATGCCACAGGAGTATTTGGGAGCTTCTGGTTCCATGTGTACCAAGTACAGGCAGACCTTGGGAAGCCAGAAACTCTATTTCATGGCACCTAGGCAACTATCTGAGCCAGGCGAACTTACCTGGCCATAGTATCATATTGCTGATTGTTGGATAATTCACAGTGGGTCCCTTGAAACCTGTCAGTGTTTCCATTTTGTCTCATTTGTTAAATGGGAAATATTTTACTTGCATTAAATCTTCATAAGTAATTTTAAAGTAGGTTGAACCTGTGTTTTTAATATAAAAATGTTATTTTTGAAGCATCTAGTTGGTGACTGAGAAAAGAAAGATAAGAAAGATAATCTCAGTTTGTTCAGTCATCAACGAGGAGTCAAGTAAATGAATAACATATTGTAATACAACACAGATAGCCATAAAAATCACCAATCCCATTTCCTATTCCAGAGTATACAGGAAGACTTCGTTTTCTCCTTTTGCAGTTTTTTTGAGGCCATGTGGCAGGGTTCCGGTCAAAAAAATTGGGACAGAGGGATATAAGCCACTTCTAGTCATGTCCCTTAAAAGCATCTTAAAGAATATTTCAGTTTTCCTTCCTCTTCTGCAGTCAGCTAGGAGGCCATTGGTTTGAGTTCCTGAGTCATCGCTTGGAAGAGAGCCTCCAAGGAGAGCTTCTAGGCTTGCATTGGATAGCTGCATAAGGAAGAAATAAACTTGTGTGTGAAATCACTGAGACTGCTGTTACAGCAACCGGTATTTATTGCTGTAGTATAGAAATTGGTACCAGAAGTGGGATACTGACATAACCAAACCATATTCCTTGACCTTTACATGATCCCAAGTATTTATCATTGGTTTAGTAATACAGCATCTGGCAGGAAGGAAACTAATACCAGAAAATGGAAAGATGGGAATTCATGTTATGTAGTGATAAATCCAACTATTGCTGCTATTAATGAGAAGTTAGTCCATGTGCCTGGTATATACCTTTAGGGGAAATGGTTAGCAAACAGAATTTTAATAGTGGTATTGGCTAATGTTGAAATATCTCTTTCGTGTATTACAAGAAAGTTACAAGAAAGAGATGACTCAGGAAATAATTATTGCGTTTGCAAGCAGAAATAGAATAGAATATAGAGTCAAGAAATTCGGCCTTGTAGGGTTGGAAAAAATAAATTTCTTTTAGACTCAAACAGTAAGATATGGCACCAAAAATGGCTTTAAGTGATAAATATCTAGCAAAAGTTCTCAATTGAATGAAGTCATTTGAGGTGAAAATCAGATTAGTCTTGTGGTCTTCTCACCTATTGTTTCTTATAGCCTCAATGTAATTAGGTAATTACGTTGGGGAAAAAAAGGCATGGAGGTGAAGACACAAATAAAAAAAGGTAAATTTGATAACAATGTTTAGAAAGTAACTCTAGGTATAGTTACTGGCACTTGGAACTGACTAAAAGCGAAGAGATCTACATCATCTAAGATTTTGATAATTGTATTACAATGAAAACAGGAGCCTGGACTTAAAAGGACTTTGCTTGGTCCAGGCTTAAAACAACTTTTGAGTTCCCAACACATGCAGACGAAGCACATGTCAGGCTTCTAGAACTGTACTGCTCTGAAGGAAAATGAGTTCCCCTGAGCCTACTTCACATGTGGCTAAGGAGAAGAACAAATACAGGAGTCCTTCCCAGAGTCAAGTCCACACATCTCCACCACACCCAGAGTATCTGAGCTTCCCATGTTGGCACAGAAAGGTTTCAGCATTGCCAAGGACCATGATGTGTCTTGTCTCTTATTTCCCATTACAAATAGTACTATTTATTGCAGTTTTCCCATAATTTTTCCACCATTATATATGGTTTATGATGGTGGAGATCTGGAATACAGATAACTAATGTTTTACATATGAAAGTCACTGCACTGAGAGGGGCCATGTCAGACTGATGAATAAGAAAGATGGTGCCTCACCCAGATATCCTGGACATTGATCTGGAGGTGGTGACCAAATGGGACTTTGGGTGTTTCTCTTGGCATGGGGGAGTGTGTTCTGTGAGAGGAAGTGGGAAATGAATATTTGGTGTTCAGAAGGGCAACCCATGGCAAGAGACTTTCAGCATTCACCATTTTTGAGTCTCTCCTTGGGCAGGTAGGAAGATTACGTATTCCAGGCGACCCTGCAGTTACATGGGCCAATGGAATGTGTGAAGAAACAATGACTGTCACTTGTAGAACAAGCATTTTAAACTTGGTGTGTCTTCTCTATATTTTCTCCCATCTGAACAGCTGGAGACAAAGGATGTGAAGATGGGAGAGCCGCGTAATGGAAGGATCCCAGATTTCAGAGTTGTCACTTGGAGGAGGGGCACCCAGTGAAGGTATCTATCTAACCCACACCATATCTTCATGAGTAAGAAATAACCTTGTCTCGAGGTATAATACTTTGGAAGTTGTATTTGATAGTGGCCTGCATTGATTTCTGTGACTAATATACTGTTCTAAACTAAAGAGTGGTTCTAAAAGCTGGGAAAGTTCTTTCTCTTGGAAGGAGTGAAATTGTCCCCCTTCCCCATCATCACCATCACCATCATCATCATCACATTTGGTTCAAAAAAACTTTTTGAGTTTCTATAATGTGTCATGCACCATGGCAGATCTTACAATGGAAAAAAGAATAAGACACTATTCCTGGCCTTGTCCATAATCTGGTGAGAGAAATATGTATAAACAAATAATGAAATAATTATTTCCTAAATGTGACACCATTAACATATGACATAACTAGCTGTTTGGAAGTTGGGGGTGGGCAGTGATAGGTAAAGGCCTTGCAGAGGAGGTAATGTATGTATCAGCTTCTAAAGGATGAAGAGGGATTTTCTAGGCAAACAGGGCCAATGGAAGCCTTCCTAAGTACAGGAAGAAATGTGTGCAAAGGCATATAGGTATGAAAATCAGGAAAGTGAAATTGATTTCTACAATTGAAGATAAAAAGCATGTTTATGACTCTCATAATTATTATCAACTTCATCATCTCACCAACATTATTTATTAATTTCCATGCAGAGTGACCATATGGATCATACGGACCCTATCCTTCAGAGGTGCTCAGCCCAAGGGAACATGGGTAGTAGATTAAGCACTGACCAGGTGAGTTAAGCTCTATAATTTACTGGCTGTAATATGAGCCAAATCACTTGTCATATTTACTGTTTCTGATCCATAGAACTGTTGTGCAAATTCAGTAAGTAAAACATGTGAAACCTCATTTGAAAAAAAATAACATAACATATACGTTTATGTTTTTATAGTAATGAAGGAGGGTTGGGGCAGTAGGACAAGAGTCATAGAAACGTGCGTGCTATCACACAAAAAGGACACGTTGTACTTCCTTCTGGTGGTAGTTTACTGGTATCCTCAAACAAATCATACCTGTGGGCTGGGGTACACCCGGTGAGCTACTATTCTCAGGGGCCAGGGGCACGCTGTTGTGGTGAAGCCCATGGGGAAGGCTGGGCCAGGTGGGATGTTTACTCAGTGTGCCTGAAGGTGGTACAGCCAGAGCAGGGGTCAGGATCAGAGATTAAGAAGCAAACATTCTAGTCAGAGAGTGGCTTGTTTTTGGCAGGGTTCAGAGGGTAGTGAGTGAGTAAAGCTGTAAAAGGAAAATAAATCCCAGCTCTGAAGCCAAAAAGATAAACAAGTTAGGATGTAAAACATAAGTGAGATAGGACAAGTGGTTCAGAACTAAGGCTTCAAAGAGTGAAATCACTGAAGGGCCACCTTTCATTGTGTTCCCTTCTTCATGGCCTGGGTGTATGGCAGGGTAGCACATTTTTACATGTGAGTGGTCTAGGCGGTGACAAAGAGGCATGGACCTCAGTCTTTTTTCTTTTTTTTTTTTTTTGAGATGGAATCTCACTCTGTCACCCAGGCTGGAGTGCAGTGGCGTGATTTTGGGTTCACTACAACCTCTGCCTCCCAGGCTAAAGTGATTCTCATGCTTCAGCTTCCCTAGTAGCTGGGATTACAGGCACGTGCCACCATACCTGGCTCATTTTTGTACTTTTAGTAGAGTTGGGGTTTCACTATGTTGGCCAGGCTTGTCTCTAACTGCTCTCCTCAGGTGATCCGCCCACCTTGGCCTCCCAAAGTGCTGGGATTACAGGCATAAGCCACTGCACTCAGCCCCAGTCCTTAAACTGAACATTATTGTTCTGGTCTTGAGACTTGAGAGCTCCAGGTGAAATAAAGATTTGGAATTTCCTGCCATCTACCTTCCTCTCAATTTCTAAGTATTTGACACATATCAAAGCTTCATCATAGCAGTGACTCTTGATCTATCAGTGGCACCTGAGGAGACCATGAAGTAGGCATGGGAATGTCATTGGCCCCCAATAATTGGAAATAAGTCCCTAAAATACCCCATTTTGTCTTAGTGATCCATCATGGAGCTGTTATCCATGCATCTCCTAAAACCTGTTTAATGCTATTTTGATTGTCATAATACATAACCTTGCAAGGACACAAGGCCCTCATAGTCAACTGCTTTGTAAAATAGTACTTTCACATCTTTGAGATCCTAAATCTACCTCATTAAAGATTGAATGCTCTGAGTATTTTGAGATCTGATAAACCATTTCATTTTTATCCATTGAGATCTTCAACATTCTGACTGAGGTGCAGAGCGTTATCTTTGTAACCTAAGCATATATGACATTACCTAACTCAAAGTTACTGGTGATGCATCTGAGAAGCTCAGACCCAACGAAACTCATCCTAGAAACTTGGATGACATTGCAGCGTGTCCAACCCATCAATAAATCCTTGGAGCTTTAGTTCTCTGCTCTTCCCCTCCCCCACATTTACAGTGCCCTCTCTTTTGGGAGAAGGATGGTGGAATTACTTTGGATTGGAATTAATGGTATAAAGAGCTACCTTCTCATCTGAGTAATGCTGATTCATCTCCATCCCTGGTCATTTGCTACCTATTAGAAATATCCTGACAGCCTGTATCTCATTACGATTGCAGCAGGGCCAGCTCCCAAGAATAACCTTCTAAGGAGGATGAAATGTACGCCCGTGGCTTCTAATGCCAGGGCATTCACATTCATATTTTTAGCAGCATATATCAGAGTTAGCCCAACCTTTAGTGTACTGTATGTACTTTTAATAATCTCCATAAAAGCCTGATTTCCAATCCCTAGGCTCAAGCTGACAGTGTAAATAAAATCACCCAAATCCACAGGGTAAGAGAAATGAAAATGACATGGATTAAAATTTGGTCAAACCTCTTTCTTTTTAAAAATTCTGCTTCCCTTCCAATTGGATCACGACCCTCTGTGTGCTCAGCTTAAGACCAGACGGTATGCTTTCACTTTTATTCCTCTCTGCAGCAGGCTTACAGTATTTAGTGAGAGTCTGTAAAGAATGTGTGCTGGGTAGGGAGTTAATACCATAATCCCCCATCGTTGGGGTCAAATGCTGAATAGAGCAAAAGAATTAGAAAACATGTTACATACAATGGCAGGAAAAAATGCATCAGCACGCTGTTCTGTGAACACCAGCATTCATCACCCGCAAGTAATGGCCATGAGGTAATAGAGTGTATAAAGAGATGTGTACTTGAAGTGTAATGTGTGCACTGATGCAGGGATGGGAGACTTAAGCAGAAGTCTAAATACCCATATACTCTGGGAAGTATTTGTCACCATGTTTAATTGCTTCTTTTTAAGTACCTGCTTGGATTTAGTTCCTAAGTAACACATTTAGCCACTAAATTGTTTCACAGAGTGGAACCTTGAGCTATCTCTTTTCACTCTTCAGCAGCGGGTGTGAATATAGTTCTCAAAGTGCTGTAATACATCTGTCTCTGGAGAATTCTCTTAATGAACAAGTAGAAATTTGAGGCACCTCAGGAAAAAGAGTTGAACAGCTACCTTCTATTCTGTCTTGGGAAAGTCAACCAAACTCCCCTGGAGTAAGATTACTAGTGAATAAATAACTTTGTATGGAATTTCTACAAAGAGGAATGAGTGTGTGTGTGTGTAGATGATTTGATCATAAAATGACAAGTTGGATTTATTTTAAATAAGATCCTTTTGTCTTAGTCCATTTTACTATTGCTATAACAGAATACCACAGACTGGGTAATTTATAAACAGAAGTTTATTTGGCTCATGGTTCTAGAGGCTGGGAAGTTTAACATTGAGGGGTTGTGTCTGGTAAGGGCCTCCTTGCTGTGTTATCCCATGGGAGAAGATGGAAGGGCACGAGACGGTGCAACAGAGAGCAAATGAGAGCTGAATTTGCTTTTATAGAAAACCCGCTCTGTAGATAACAACATTAATCTACTCAAGAGGGTAGAGCCCTCACATCCTCATCACCTCTTAAGGGTCCCGCCTCTCAACGCTGTTGCATTGGGGATTGTGTTTCAAACACATGAACTTTGGGGGACACGTTCAAACCATAGCATCCTTTGAAGTGGTAACTATTAAAGATTTATATTTTAAGACTTTTATTTATTTTTAAATTTACATATAGTAACATTTACTCTTTGAGGTGCAGAGTTTTATAGTTTTGACAAATGTATAGAGTCATGTAAGCATCACTGTTATTAAGATACAGAACACTTTTATCATTCTCAACAGTCCTTTGTGCTATTGCTTTGTAGTTAAAATTTCCACCCCTCACCCCTGAAAGTCATTGATCTGTTCTTTGTTTCTATAAGTTTTGTCTTTTCCAGAATGTCACATAAATGAAATCATGTGGTATTTGCCTTTTAGGTCTGTCTTCTTTCACTTAGCAAATGCATTTAAGATTAATCCATGTTGTAGTATCAATGGTTTGTTCATTTCTAGTATAGAGTAGTATTTTATCTTTGTAATTTTCAATGGCATTTCAAGACTAAATGACTGAAAGCTAATGGCCCTAAGAATAAAACTATTAGGAAAATTATTAATTAGGGTTTTAGAGTTTTCTGTGAGGGATTATCTTTTGTTTACTTACGTAAGACACCAAGATACATGAAAATACAGAGTGAGGTTGGATTCTAACCGGGAAGTATAAAACATGCTAAATTTAGCATGTTAGCTTTTTCTCACAGGGCATATTGACTAAATTACTAAAGACATATTATTTCAAGTAAATAAGTTATTATTGCTCAAAACATAAATATTAATATGCCCTTAATTGTATATGTTATCTTTACATTTCTATTAGTCTACAGTCAGCCTCCCACTCTTCTCTATTGGCTACTCCTCTTCTACCTGACCCATAAATGCTAATGTTCCTTTTCTCACACTACACCTGTTTTCATGGAGAAATCATTTATACCCATAAATAGATAGGGATGGCCAGTCTACATCTCCAACCCAGGTTTCCCTCATGAGTTACAGACACATACAACCCAAATACACACCATTCCAAATAGAGCTCAGTATCTACCAAACCAAATGGCTCCCCCTTCGTAGGATTTTCCATACACTTCTCTTAGCTCTTATCTCACTTCCTGTTTCCTCCACCAGAGTAAAGGCAACGAACATGTGTCTTTCCCCTAGTGTCTGTTATATAGTAGGAATTCGTAAATATTTGTGGAAAGAATGAGTGCATGTGATACTCATATGCATAAAAATAGGGATTTATTTCTACTCCAAACTCCAATGTTTATAAATGGTTTTTATATGAACGAGTGACTAAGATACACATTTATTTCTACCCTAACCACCAACCACCATACCTGCACAAAATCTAGAGGTCAATGCCTATTTTATATAGCAGAGAAAATAATTAGCACATCTCACTTTTCTTCCTATTACATTTTCTCATTGAAGTCAGATTTTTTATTCAATCTTATAAATATCTTTTCATGTCTTACAAAGTTCCCAGGTACTATTTTCACTGGTTGAATAATATTGCCTCTAAAAAGAGTCCTTCTTTTACCCTGAAAGTTCAGTTTGAAGCATCATGAGGACCTCGTGATAGAACTAACTCCATTCAACAGTCTGTACTTTGTACCATTGGTTCTCAAAGTGTGGTGCCTGAACCAGCAGCATCAGCAGCCTCTAGGGACTTGTTAGAAACGCAAATTTTGGGGCACCACCCCACACTTTCTGAAACAGAAACTCTAGTGTGAGATCCAACAATCTGTGTTTTAACAAGCTCTTTGGGGGATTTCAGTGCTTGCAAAAGTGTATGCAACTATTGTCATACACTTCCTAGTGATGGTCCGCTTGTCATATAGTATCGTCCTGAATTAATTCTCACTCTTGTTATTCACTCAGGCCCCTCATCAGTCATAAATCATACTCATATTGAAACAACCTGTGTATTTGACAATGAGTTTATAGAGCAGGGCCTGAGGTCTTGTTGTACATAAAACATAAGAATAGCAACAGTGTTTTTTAAAACTTAGTTTTAGTAACAGAAAATTTCTTCAAATGAAATATTATGCGAAAGTCATGTGTGTGTGTGTGCATGCATGTGTGTGTGCGTGTGTGTGTGTGTGTGTATTTGTCAGATGAAAGGGAATTACTATGGTTGACTTTTATGAAAGCAGTCTGCCTATTTGACTGGGCTTCCTCCTGGCTGTTCCCTTCTCCACAATACCTCCAGGAAACAGTTGGAAAACCTCTGAGTCAGTGGAAAGGGAATTAAATATGGATCTGGGGACCTCGGCTCTAGCCTGTTTCTTTGGTCAATTCATTTAGCATTTCTGGGCCATACTTTCCTGATCTGAAAATGACAAGTTACCTTTAAAATTTCTCTACTAGTTGTAAGTTCATTTTTTTCCTTCTGTATTTTTAGCTTCTGACAGAAAGGAATATGGACTGTCTTGAACATTCTCCCTTCCTTGGAGACACAGGAAAGAGCTGTTGGCTTTGCCATTTGCTAGT